TCAAGAACGGGCTCACCTAGCCAAACCAAATGTTTAGGCTTTGTTCGGACTATTTATTAGATGGTTTATGTGAAGTTTGCACAAAATCGGTCGAGCGGTTCTTCATTTATCACATTTTTTGTAATAAATGAATTATTCAATAAATGGAGGATCATTTTGTTATCATCAGTTGTGTTGGTTCTAGTACTTATAACTCGAGAACAGCTGGACTGATTTTTATGATTTTTGTTTTATTGGATTTGTCTTTGTCCCTACTAACATATTAAATCGGAAAAATCAAAACAAAAAACAAAATTACTTATTTTACTTATTTATGAAAAAAATTCACTAGGCCCGCATACGGCGTCATCTCCTATAACCGATACCAAGTTTACCGCCACATTTATATTGCAAACCATTTTGACCATTGTGTATACGGCGCTATCTCTGATACCTGATAGCTAGAACGAAACTCGCCGTTGCGCGGTAATTTCATTGCAGATACAGTAGAACAATGCTACTCAGGAACTGGAGCTATTCCAAACAGAACTATTTCACTATTCCGATCAGATAGAGTGGTGCAGAAAGAGTAGATTAAATAGAATAGTGCAGATAAAGTAGAACAGATGGAGTAGTGCAGTGCAGATAGAGTGAAACACGGCTGCGCTGGAATTTTTTTTGTTTTCTTTATATTCTTTGAACATTCCTGTGCCTGAGTTTATCTATTTGATGGTACACTTTAGAAGAATAATGCCCACAAGCTGCCTAAAAAGGAATGATGTAAAATTTTAATTTTAGGTGACTTCTGATCCAGAGAGTAAACTTTTTTTTTCAACCAAAGCCAAATTCACCATCGAAAAAAACTTAATTTAATTCAGCTAATAAATACGTTAACACAACATTTAATAGGTATTTAATAATTCAGAGGCGGTACGAAATTCGCCGGGTCAGCTAGTCTTGTATATAATACGGTTACGAAACGAAGTCTTTTAGTCACTCGACGTGTTGTCCAACTCGGCTTTGCCTCGTTGGACAATTTTCACGTCACGTGCCTAAAAGACGCTCATTTCGCAACTTATTGTATAAATAGCTATTTTGTACGCTCACGGCCGGACAAAAAAGTGACGTCACAGAATTTTCCTAGATTCCATCGCTTTGAACACCGTTTGCGGAAAAAATCGCATGTTTTATTCGGAAAGAAGCACTTTTTGTGGCTCGTCTAAAATTGTCGGCCTCACTACGTTCGGCCGTCAAACATTTAGTCTCGCCACAAAAAGTATCGCTTTTACTCCTAATAAAACTATATACTATTAGTTACTGTATATTTATAAAATTGGAATAAAAAAATAAGTTTGTTTGAAGATATCTCAATTTTTGTATTGTTCAATTACCTCCTTGACCCCTTTAAGGAATCTCATTGCATCTAATTTGGATTTTTTAAAAAAGGGTTCTGTTATCGTTCTAAACAATTGCTCGGTAAATTTTAGCAAGTTTTTTCAACAAATGTATTACTTTGCAATTAACTGTTTAGAGCGTTTACAGTACTTTATTTTTAATAAATCTTAAATAGAATCAAAGTTAATAATTTAATTCTTCAAAAAAGCCGCCTTTTCACTGTCGGTAAAGAAGAAACCTGCATTCAAACAATGTTCACTCTTTTATTGCTGTCCGTAGCCACAACGGGCGCTAACGTCGACATTGTGCCAGTTAAGTACAGGGGTGGGTATGACTTCTCTCGTAGTTTACTACTATTATATTTCTCTATGGTCACTTGATGTAAATCTCAAAATTTAACTAGTAGGTTAAGTAGGTATAGTAAAGCACTTTACCGTACTAATCTCAGTACGACTTTATCGCTGTGCAACATGAGTTATGTGCTTAATATATCACTTATCGTTTCTTAATGTAAACATAATGTTTTACTTTCTAATGATACATTTATGACTTCTTTTAGATATATATAGAGCTAAGGGATCCTTTGTAAGTAGATTAGTATTACTGAAGACTTAGACCTATAAGTATTGTAATAGTTATTCTCTATTTTGCGTAAATAAAGTTTTTTAAAAACAAAGTTTCGCGAATAAATAACTTAATTGGCGCAGTCGGTAGGATTCTGCAAGGTATCATTGACACTCGTAGTCAAAATCCCCAGTGTCCGAAAAAATACCGTTGGTTTCAACCATTCAACCAGAATCCCGAATCTACAACCCAGGCAGGAAGAAACTACCTCTGAGACTTCATCGGTAAGTGTTGAGCAAACCTTCTTTCCCCCTGTTGTTCCCCGTTTGAAAAAAAAATAATTTTTTTTTTTGTAATTCAAGCCTTCGAGTATAAATCTTGTAACTTGCAATTACTGAAAACAAATAAAAAAAATAATAATAATAATAATTTTATATGCCCTTACTAGACAATTTAAGTGAAATCAAATTCAATCTTTCCGAAACCGAAGTTGAAAAAATTAATAAAGCATTCAATTCAAATCCCAAAGAAATGGCTACGATTCAAGCCGCAAAAGAAATTGCATATACACTCAGAAATTTTAATGGTCGCAGTGAACATCTAGAATCATTCATTAATGCAGTCGATAAATTTTTCGAAAGATATGGCAAAACAACAGACAACAGTCTTAAAGAATTCGTTTTTGCAGCTATCTGTTCAAAAATTGTTGATGAAGCTGGTGACTTTTTACTCTGTAGACCCGATCTTATAGGCGGAGAGCTGGCTACATAAAAAGTGCCCGCATCAGGTACATGGCTAATTTATATTGGAAATAATAGTATCAGTGTAGGCGAATATAAATATGAATGTCTGCCATTGCAAAACTGGGGCGCGAAGGGGGGGTACGTAGTGAAAGGGGTGAATTTTGGGTGGGAAAAAATTCATAAGGTACAGGGATTCTATTTACGGAAAAAGTTTGGTTTCATATTTGAGAAAGTGTAAAAAAATTGGCAGACATTTTGCGAGGGGTTAACTCGCCGGCAGACCGCGCTAAAGAATGCAAAAATTAATTTAAAAAAAAATCAAAAGGTACACGAATTCCAATTATTGTATTTTAAAGTTTAAACATTCAAAGAGTCATTTACAAAATGGCAGACAAAAAAATGAGGGCTAAGGCCGTGGCAGACGACGTTAAAAAGTGCGCTGCACATCAACATTTTTAATCACATTCTTGATATTTAACTGCAGAAGAATTATTATCGATATTTATGAAATATATCAATGACACTCATTATTTTATAACTTTTATTTTTAGGGAATTTTAAAAACAATTTGATTTTTTTTTCAATGTTAATATTATGGTTGTTTATAAGTATATCAATTTATTTTAAACGATTAATTAACATTAGTCAGTATTTGGTTTCTTCACTAGTGAAAAGTGAAGGTAAATGCTCACAAAATTTTGAAAGTGAAATTAGCCAAATAACTTGTCGCAGGTATAAGGTCCCAGATTTGTATAGGTATATTTGGGAGCCGAATATAATATAAATGTTGATGGGGGGAACAGATATTTTCGTGTATAATAGAGCAAGCGACGCAGCACAAGGTGATGCCGCACAAGGTCACTGAGAGCAGTGTTACCAGATCTCCTGTTTTAACAGGAGAACTCCTGTTTTCACTCTCAACCTCCTGTTCTACTGTTTTCACAATGAAATTTACTGTTTTCAGCCTCAATGTCTATTTTTCTGCTTTTTTCTATGAAATCTTCAGTTGGTTTCAGTAATTTTCCCTATTACATTGCGCATGAAAGAAAAGAATAACGATATACTGCAGCTGTACGCCATTTTTTCATTTGTTGTTCTGATTGGATCGGCTTGGTTCACCATGACTCTAATCAGTCAAGACATTAGAGAGTTATTGGACGTGCAATAAGGACAAGCAGTATTCAAATTAGCCTTATTTTGACATCTACGCATGCGCATTTGGGTCCGAAAATAAGGATTCCCTGAATAGTCCGGGAGGTGGTGTCACTTTTGGACTAGTGATCGATCTTCACACGAATTTTTCAGTGTGCGTAGTTCTCCACATAAACATATGAGATCCGCGCCTCAGTCAGTCCAATAGCGGTGGGTGTGAGTGTGAGAGTCTGTGGAACTCATCGGAAAAACTATAAAAAAAAGTTAATAATCTGAACATGAAAATTTGTTACAATGTCAATTATTGATAATTAAATGTGAAAATGTTCGTCAGTCACGCTTCCGACGGGGGGAACATTGTCAGTCAGAGGTTTGAAGTAGTCGGAAAAGTTGAAAAATTCAAGTGACCGATCTTCACTTGTAATTTTATAGAATGATTATTTGAATCAAATCAAGCATGAAAATGAACGTCAGCCACCTCTATCGTGGTGGATTCTGCGTCAGTCAAATTTCCAAAGTCGAGGGCAATGACCAAGTTTCTTTGGCGCGCTGCATCTTATGCAGTTCGACTGACGAATAATCCACCAGCCGCGTGCTGACTGACGATTGTTTATCGAATGTCAAAGACAATTCTGAACAGAACGGAAAAAAACTGCAAGAGGCGTATATTTTAGAATGTTCACAAGATCCTCTTCGGTTTGAGAGAGCGTTGAAGAAGAATAAAATCCTTACGTTTGCAGATGCAGTAGAAAAGAAGCAGATGAACGTCAATGGAAAAATTGTCGAGGTAAAATTGCAAAGAGATTTGTTTGGAAAGGTCTTGAGAGTAACGTTGGAGAAAACATTGAATATCGAAAAAGTTTTGACTTACCCCTTAGTCCATTTCCTTTAGCGTTTGGCCACTTGGAAGGAACAATAATATGTAAAACCGATAAATCCGTTTTACTGCATATTCTGGAGAAAGAAGTGGAAAGTCATGAGCCCGAACAATGTGACGTCATCGTTTTCGATGGTTTTCACACAGTCCACGCTATGACAGAAATTCCTGTATCTTTTGGAAACATTTCACAAAAAATCTCACATTCTTTCAATGCGAACCGCGCAAAAACCATCATTATTGCGTTCAATCGTTACGTTTCCCCATTGAGAAAAAATAACGAGCACATAATGCGTAGAAGAGTAGTGGGAGATCGTTTTACCATCAATGGACCTCAGCAGAAACGATCATCGAATTTTAAAAACGATTTAAATAATACTTATTTCATGGGAGTGTTGGTGAGATTTTTATGTGAACATTGGAATCAGGTCCATATGAGTCCTTATTTTGGTTTGCTTTGGTGACCGAACTGTTTTCGTAAACTATGAGAAATGTTTCAAGTTCGAAGTCATTGATAATAAGGTTTTTAGAACAGTAGAGGAAAATTTGTCATGCTCTGAACATTTGGAAACTGACTCTTTCATTTTCATGCTTGATTTGAATCAAATAATCAATCCATAAAATTTCAAGTGAAGATCGGTCACTTGAATTTTCCAACTTTTCCGACTACTTCAAACCTCTGACTGACAATGTTTCCCCTGTCGGAAGCGTGACTGACGAATATTTTCACGTTTAATTATCAATAACTAACATTCTAACAAATTTTCATGTGCAGATTATTTACTTTTTTTCATAGCTTTTCCAACGAGTTCCACAACCTCCCACACTCACACCCACCGCGGTCGCGCTGACTGCCTTTCAATTTTGATCACAGTAATGATGAAACTCTTCAATAAATCACATTTGAGTCGGAGATAAATCACTAATAAAAAAGTGACACTACCTCCCGGACTATAATAAGTTTACTGCTTGTCTTTATTTGTGTATGGTTAGTGCGAGGCAGTGAACTTCCCTTATTTTACATTTCTGACATTTTGGACGACTTTGACGTTTCGTAGATCCTTAATACTGCGAGGCAGTATTCCAATAACTCTCTCCATTTATTTAATAGTTCCAATAACTCTCTATTGACAAATGGTTTGATTTGAGGGAGTTCCCCAAGAATCGTGAGTTAACAGGATTGCTCATCCTCATAAGGCTTACGTTCGCCAATTTCCGAGTCGATAGGGCCTGCGAGTGACGTGATCACTCTTAACAGCATATAGCAGCTTATAGTGGTGACGTCACCCGCAGGCCTCAATGAGATACTTGCAATTCAAGATGCGCTTGTTTTTTTTCGATTTTAAATGTAGAAACGGTGATTTTAACAAGATTATAACATTGAGGAATTCGTTTTTTGACCTATACTGTTTTCAACTCGGCTAATGGCTGAAATGGTAGACACTTTCAGCTCAATGAGCAGTCGAGCTCCTAAATTTGTAACTACTGAGTGCATAGGTGGGTTCGGCTTGCTCACTTCGTGCACTCCGAGTGACTCCATTCGCACTCCAGCCGTTCGGGTATTGCTTTTTACCGTATTAGGGGTGACTCCTGCTACGTTTTTCCCGTGGACAGGCCACTACGCGTAGTTTTAATTTTTTTAGACTCTTCGTACCTAATATTGGAACACAAAACGGAATTAATTTTTAAGCCTTGATAATCACACACAAATAAAACAAAGATAATGAAATCAGAGGGTCAAAATATATTTGGTCACTAATATGTACAATATTTACAAAATTGGTTCATCATAGGGGTTAGGGGTTGTTTTATGTTGATTGAATTATCAATTATCGTGAAAATATGTATAACCAAAATATTCAATTTTTAGTCTAAAGCCAAAATTAAGTACGGAGTAAGATAATCTCGTAACCTAATTATAATATTAAAACTTTTACGTTTTCAAAATTAAAATTAAACTAAACTAAAAAAAATAGGTTTGTTGAAGAAATAAATTGTTTTAAAGAGAAATATGTTTCAATTAATCAAAGATGGTAAAAGATATAAAATCACTTATCTTTTATTTCCAAAACGTGGTGTGAAGATTCGTTCCAAATCTGTCGGTCGTGGATTACTATGTCCTCTACGAAACCAAACCAAAACGATCCAAAATTGTAGCTCAAGATGTCTGGAACCTGCTACACTTCAATGACTGCATCCACGAGTGACCACAGATCAGAATCTCGACACCAAGGAATAGAAATGTTCCAATGAATACAATAAAGATGAACCAATAAAAGAAGTCTGTGAATAAAACACTCGAATAAGTTTCAGAATGCTGTCAAATGCTTTCAATATGAATAAAACCTTAGAAAACTTACCCTATTAAATATAGGACTTCATTCAAAATCTCTTTGACAAAAGGCGGTGTTGGTTAGGCTGTTTCTCCCGGTATATCCAGCTTAGCTGCAAAGATATTCACAATATCTTGTTACCCAGTTGTGAAGTTCTAATCTCTGCCCAAAATAATCCTTGGATGGATTCTCAAAATTCAGATTATTTTCGAACTTCTCACTAGTTGGAGATCACACTAACTTGCCAATATGTCTCTTCAAACTATTCGAATGGAATCAGAAGGAAAAAGAAAGAATACCCTTCACGAGTTGACGGTATAAATAGAAAAATAGAATTACCCATAATTCCAATCACCCTTCCGGTATACCTCATGCTGAAACTTTTGACCACCACAAAATTCCCTAGATCAATTTGGACTTTAGAATCAAATTGAAAATTTCTCAGATCCGGAATAAAATATTTCCATGATTTCAATTTTTAAATTAGAACAAAATAATTTCCTAATGACTATGATTTTTGAAGAAGTTCCAACATGAAAGAAAAATTTAAAAGAAAACGAATTACAACCTTGATGATGCAATAATCTGGAAAAATTATAATCACTCAACGATTCCTAGTCCGACACTGTCCTCAATCTTATTTCTGGTAGTTCCTTTTTGTTGCAAATTGTCAGCTCGGCTTCAGCACCTGCGCTTATAAAAATAAATAAACAATTTCCAAAGCAAAGGGTCGCCATTGTGACTTGAGCAGAAATCGAAATGTAAATACGATGGAAATTGAAACCAGTGGAACCAAGACGACAAACTCAGAAACAAAATCTTCACAGCATTGGAATAATTAGTAATAATGGTAAGTACGTTATATCTGTAGTGAAATGTATATAGTAAATCTTTTGAATCAATAGATACTGTTATTTCTGCAACATGACCTTAACCCTTATAATTTTCTTTTTTAGAGTAATTTCCCGTAGATACAAGGTGGAAATTATTACATGGATATGATTAACAACAATATAAGAAATGGATAGATCATCGAGTGACATGACAAACTACATTTTCAAGATTTTATGGGAATAAACAATGATGGTTACCAATTACTTAATTCGTGATAAATGATTATAATAATATGTTTTCCTTTGTTTTAGGTTAAATGAAATTAATATGGTTGATGCATAAGAACAATTATGGTTGTAATAAAAACTTAAATAAATTTAGTTGCTTAAGTACAAAATCCCTTGCTGAATTTTTTTATTGATTTGTTCACCATTTAGTCAAGAAAATATTTATAATTCATACAATTTTAATTCCTATACTACAATAATAAACCCTTAAATTTCAAACCGTAACACTCCATTAGCTTTATTCACTCCACTCCAACTCCGCGCATATTATTTTCAAAAAATGATAAGTTCACTCTCGATTTGCATGAAGAAGCGAATTCAAAAATTGTATATCATGCGTGCAATATCGAGTCAACAGCGAACATTCTAATAAAATGCTCAGATACGGATATTTTAATTATTATGTTGGCTAATATGATTCACGTACAACACAATAGCAAAGTTTATATTCAAACAGGGGTTTGAAATAAGCAACGAATAATTGACGTATCGGCGTTTCATGAAAAGTTAGGCGAGATAATGTGTCAATCTCTGCCAGGATTTCATGCTGTAACTGGCTGCGATTTTAATCCCGCATTATTTCGTAAGGGAAAGCAATGGTTCGTCGGACCACAGCTGCCTAGTACAATACAAGATATTATTGATACTGGAACAAACGAAGGTAATATATTTTTTCTACAAACGTGTTAAAAATGCAATTTTTAACACTCCCTCAGGGCCAAATTATGGACCAACTGTTAAGTGTCTGGTTGTTACCTAGCAGGTACTTTCTATTCTCTAGTGCATAGAAAGTACCTGCTAGGTAACAACCAGACGTTTACCAGTCAGTCCATAATTTGGCCCTTAAAGCATTAAAAATGTTACTTTATTGCACTAGTGTTAAAAGTCTTTAAGGCACTAGTGTTAAAAATGAAACATCAAAATTTGAAAGCAAACGTCAAAAAAAGTTTGTATTTTTAATTATTTACATTAATATTAATGGTAAAATTTGAACAACTGAGGAAGCTCCATCGGCCGCCTCCTCTATATTTTTCAAGGGATTGATGCAACCCTCTTTTTCTTGTGTATTTTGTTGCATTTTTAGCAAAAAGCTTACTGACCACGATAGACCATACGACAGACTTTCAAGAAACTGACGAGACATTTCATTACCTGTAAAACAAGGTGCTGGTTGTTTGAATTTTTTGACAAATATCAAATTCAATAATTTTACGTAGGAAAGATGCTTCCAATTTATTATTCATTTAAAAATCCAATTTATCACTGGTTATTGCTTGTTATTGCCGTTTGTAGAAAAAATATTGTATGATATTTGTGTTAAAAGTATTTTTAAGGCACTTATGTGAATTGCAGAATTCGCTTCGCTCATTCTGCAAACTTTCACATGCGTGCCTTAAAAATGTACTTTTAACACTTATATAATAAATAACTATTACCTACGAGCGTGCGGTAAAGTACACTTTACCGCACGTATTTGCAAATGGAAAGTATCACTTTACCGCACACTATGCGGTAAAGTGCACTTTACCGCATAGTGTGCGGTAAAGTTAACTTTACAGCAAAGTATGCGGTAAAGTAGAATACAAAGTGTGCCGTAAAGTGCACTTTACCGCATAAGGTGCGGTGAAGTAGAATTTGATATTTATAATCAAAAATCCTTTCTTTTTCAGAAAATGGATTTTTGATCATTTCTAAATCTAATCTAATTTCAGTAATTAATCTGATTCAATTATTAATTTTATTAGTGCCTTTTTTTGGATATGTAGATGCTCATAGGTAAAATTTTGTACCTAACACATGCGGAAAGTGCCTTTACCGCACTTAACGGCTTGACCGAACTCCGCTTCGCGTCTTTCGGTCAACTGCCATTGCGTGCGGTAAAGTATCACTTTCCGCATTTGTTAGGTAAATAACTATTTCCACAGAACGTATAACTTTTCTTTTCTATTAAATGTCTAAAAATTACTTCGCTTTGTGCTTTGTAACAGGCGATGAAGGCCTTAATGCAGAAAGCGAGTCAAATGAAGAAGAATATGGCGATAGCGAACGAGATATCACGTCCGAATCGGATTCCAATTGACCTTTTCAATTTAAAAGTCTCTCTCTCTGGCGTCAAACTGTCAGACGCCAAAAGAGTATGAAAACAACGGTTGACAGCCGCTGACAGTGGTTTATTGTTGACAAGACTTTTGTACATGTAGAAACTGGAAACTATTATTTCCTCGGTTTTTTCAAAGTTTTTTCCTAACAATGGTAATTGTGTAGTGTGCCTTTTTGTAAAGTAAAAATAATTCCTATTTACTGGCGGACGTGTCTTTCCATAAGTTTCCATCAAATCCTACGTTTGTCAAATTTTGGATACATAAAATCAGAAAGAATACTCGCAAAAAGAAAGGGAAATCCACGGCCTATCAAGTATACAAAGTAATCCACGTTCAAGTTCAGTTTGCGGAAGCTGTTTGCTTCCAAAATAATCCACCGCTTTCTCCATAGCGAAGTTCTGCAAATGAAATAGTGACTTTTCCCACATTTTCTTTCAAAACACCCAATACACACTGGCATTGACAAGCAAGCAAATGTTGGCGGTAAAATGATTGTTTTCATACTTATTGTCCATCTCTTTTAATTGAAAATGTCAATTGCGAATGTGACTAAAAATGTTGATGTGCAGCGCACTTTTTAACGTCGTCTGCCACGGCCTTAGCCCTCATTTTTTTGTCTGTCATTTTGTAAATGGCTTTTTTAATGTTTAAACTTTAAAATACAATAATAGAATTCATGTACCTTATGATTTTTTTTAAATAAATTTTTGCATTGTTTAGCGCGGTCTGCCGGCGGGTTAGCCCCTCGCAAAATGTCTGCCAATTTTTTTACACTTTCTCAAATATGAAACCAAACTATTCCCGTAAATAGAATCCCTGTACCTTATGAATTTTTTCACACCCAAAATTCACCCATTTCACTGCGTACCCCCCCTTCGCGCCCCAGTTTTGCAATGGCAGACATTCATATTTAAATGCGTCTACACTGATACTATTATTTTCAATATAAATAAGCCATGTACCTGATGCGGGCACCTTCATGTAGCCAGCTCTTAGTCCATTAATACTTGGCCAGAAGTAAGACAAGCATTAAGAACTAAATTTGGAGACAAGATCGATAGACATGTACTCCAGCAACAATTCATTTATTTAAACAAACAAAAAAATGAAAGCATGAGTGAATTTTTAGAAAAGTTGAAACTGGTAAAGATGAGATTAAACCTTAAAATCAACTCTGATCCTAGTATAGATACAGCAACAAAATTAGCTTTAATCAACCAGAACGAATTAACTGCTGTAACCGTTTTAATCTCGAACTCAAATTCTAAACTCAGAACATTGCGAATGTTAAAAAACCCTGCCAATATCGAGGAAGCCACTTCTCTTGTTTTAAATCACTCTTTAATGGAACAACAAATAAATCTAAGGAGTAATAATAACAATTATCAAAAGATAAATATTCCTAACCCAAGACCAAACTTGAATAAACCACCATCAAACAATACTAACAACAGTAATTATTATTATCAAAACCCTAAGCCTATTTATCATCCGTCACAAAATCGTCACTCTAACACAAAACCCACTTTCCCAAGCCAACCGATTAACATTGAATCACGTCCAGTTCAACAAAAATTCTTTACTAATGAACAAGTATTTGGTAAACCAACTAATGCTTTTAGCAAAAGAAATTCGCACAAACCCCAAGGTCAACCCCAACCAATGTCTATTAGTACCAGATTTACAGGAATCCCATCGACAAAGAACTATAGACCAAACTACTTCCAGTCTACAGGAAAACCGAATTTCACGTTCGAAGAACTAACCAACCTTGAAACTAATCCACCCGAATTTGAATACCAATACCCTAATTACGCAAATGCAACTAATGACAATCAAAATATCGATAATGACACCGAGGAATTCGAAAACGACAATTACTACCAGCATACCTTCGATTTCGAAGCCCCTGAAAACTTTTCCACAGAAAACCAAACCACTAACTGGCAAGAACATGAAAATTTTCGGATAGAGACTCTCGAAAAAGAAAAGTCATAGACTTAAACAATAATGTGCATAATTCACTACCATTCATCAAAATATCCAAACCACCCATGAAACTTCTAATCGATACAGGATGTCATCCATCTATACTAAGACCCTACATCGCAGAAAAATACTTCAAAGAAAATATTTTCAAGTCAGATACTCCCATTGTAACTTGTAATGGCCAAAGTAAATCCGATTCAAAGGCAAATATTCCCATTTTCGACGAATTGAAACCTCTCACAGGAAATCTAGAATTCGTTCTGTATAACTTCCATGATTATTTTGATGGCATTATAGGCATCAGAGATTTGCGTAATCTAAAACTAAACATCGACACATATAATAAAATACTGTTCAATAAAACAATTGAAATCCCTCTTCATTACAGGAACGAGTTTAATATTCAGAAAATCGAAATTCCACCTTTCACGTCCGTTTTAAAACAAATTAAAACCAATTTACCTAATTGCGAAATAATCATACCCGACTTTCAAAGTAACGACTCACTTAAAATTCCAAGTTCTCTTTTGAAAGTTCATAATGGACTAACTACTATTGAAATCTCTAATCCCACAAACGAAACGCAATTAGCACTCATTGACGAAAACTTTCTAAAACCATTTGCACAAAACTACAATACCTCACAATTTGAATGTTTTAATATAGAAGAAATTACACCTTCTCTCCCTCTAGGAGAAACCAATTTTGATTTCTCCACAATCAGAACCGACCACATGAACAGAGAGGAAAAATTTGAATAAAAAAAATTACTATCAAAGTTTAAAGGAATTCTATACCAACCTAATCAAAAATTGACTTTTACTAACAAAATTAAACATGAAATTAAAACCACGGACGATGTACCAATTTACACAAAGTCTTATAGATACCCTCACGTTCATAAAGATGAGGTAAGGAAACAGATAACAAAGATGCTAGAAGATGGTATTATCCGACCCTCTCAATCACCATGGAGTTCCCCCATTTGGATAGTCCCAAAGAAACTCGATGCAAGCGGAAAACAAAAATGGCGCATCGTAGTTGACTATCGAAAAGTTAACGAGAAGACAATCGATGACCGCTACCCTCTTCCAAACATTTCCGACATATTAGATAAACTGGGTCGTTGTCAGTATTTCACGACATTAGACTTAGCATCTGGGTTCCATCAAATCGAAATGGCCGCAAACTCCATTGAAAAAACAGCCTTTAACGTCGAAAATAGACATTACGAATATGTTCGGATGCCATTCGGACTCAAAAATGCACCCGCCACGTTCCAACGCGTAATGGACAACGTCCTAAAAGAATTACAAGGAAAAAATTGCTTAATTTACATGGACGATATCATTATATTCTCAACATCCCTCCAAGAACACCTCAATAACCTAAAACAAGTATTTCAGAAGTTAAAGGATGCAAATCTCAAAATCCAATTAGATAAATCTGAATTTTTGTGTAAATCTGTCGAATTCCTAGGCCATGTAGTCACTCCAGATGGTATCAAACCGAATCCCAGGAAAACTAAAGCAATTCAAAATTTCCCAATTCCAAAAACAACCAAGGAAATTAAATCCTTCCTCGGATTAGTAGGCTATTATAGAAAATTTATTAAAAACTTCGCAAAGCTCACCAAACCAATGACTCAGTGTCTGAAAAAGAACACAAAAATTGAACACTCACCCGCATTCATAAACTCATTTAACCTTTGTAAAAATATTTTATTGAACGACCCCATCCTTCAATACCCCGACTTCTCGAAACCCTTCAATTTAACAACAGACGCCTCTAATTTTGCCATAGGAGCCGTTCTATCTCAAGGCCCCATAGGGAAAGACCTTCCAATCGCATATGCCTCTAGAACCCTAAATCCCGCAGAAATAAATTATAGCACTATAGAAAAAGAGCTTCTCGCCATTGTATGGGCCGTTAAATATTTCCGACCATACTTATTTGGAGTAAAATTCAAAATCATAAGCGATCACAAACCTCTCCAATGGTTGTTCTCACTGAAATACCCTAACTCTAAATTAGTTCGATGGCGATTGAAATTACAAGAGTATGACTATGAAATTATATATAAAAAAGGGAAACTGAATACAAACGCAGACGCGCTTTCACGTGTAGAAATAAATCCTATTGAACTCGACCTCGATGACCGTCTTTCAATTCTCGCAAATGCAGGAGACTCCTCTGAGATTCCAGAACTTTCAAAGGAAGAAATCGAGGAAATTCTTGGAATTACCAATAACCACCCAACAACCCGGGATGAAACTCCTAATAACCCTAAAATAATAATTCATGAAAATATTACTTTGAAACCAACACAGAATATTCCAATAGCAACGATTGCCGAACAAACAGATGGTTCAACCGTCCACTCCAATTCAGAAGATCCAATCATAGGCCACAGAAAGACCCATAAACACCTACAAAAACCAAATCATTTTTCTCAACTCTAATAAAAATCAGACTAAAATACAAAAAGAAAAAATCTTTGAGAAAAACCGTTTATCCTATTTCATTCCTCAAGAACCAGATGAAGATACCTTCATTAAACTGCTAAAAACATTTAGTCTCTAAACAAACGTACTGCCTACACTTTAAGAACAAAGCACACGAACCTCTATTTATACGAACAATACAAAAGTACTTCAAAAATCAAACATTCAATTTTGTAATCTCAAATAACCTTCTTTCCGATATCACAAATACTGAAGATCAAAATCTCAAACTGAAACAATACCACGAAACGAAAACTCACCACCGAGGGATCCAAGAAAATTTGAACGCCATAAGAAAAGTATTTTATTGGCCCAAACTCGACCAAGACGTGAGAGACTACGTCAACTCTTGCGAAATATGCCAAAGAAGCAAGTACAAAAGGCATCCCACAAAATTAATGTTCAAACCTACCCCTTTTGGCTTTGAACCTTTTGATCACCTTTATGCAGACACGTATAAAACCCACGGACAATACTTTGTGACAATTATAGACAGTTTCTCAAAATTCGGTCAAGCCTACCCCATTCAATCACAAACCGCAGTTGAAATTGCAAACAAACTATTGCAATTCTTTAATCATTTCGGAATCCCAAAACGTATAACAACTGATAATGGACACGAATGGAAAAACGAAGTCGTGCAAAACCTATGTAAAATACATCATATAGAAGTCCATTATACCACCCTCTATAATCCTAATAGCAACAGCCCAATAGAACGTTTCCATTCAACATTGGCAGAAACAATACTCACTTTGAAAAATTCTAAACCTAATGAATCAATCTTGACCCTCATCAATTACGCCCTTTTATCTTATAATAACTCCGTACATAGTTCTACAAATTATACACCATTCCAGATAATTCGTGGTAAACTTGACTATAGAAACCCCTTTGAAATAGATGATAAAATAAAAATGACACAATACATACAAGACCATGCCGAAAACATAAATACTCTCAACCAAATGATTCTAAAGAAACTGGAATTGAACCAACACAAACACCTAGAAAAACTAAATGAAAATAGACAACGAGAAATTACTATCGACTCTGCACAACCCTTATATAAATCAGCAAGACGAAATGCTTCTCAAAGAAAAACAACAAACCCATACGAAAAGGTCGATAATCCTATAATAGTTAACGATCATAAAATAAAAACAAAAAATAAAGTTTACCACAAAAATTTGCTAAAACCGCAACGTATTGTTTCAGGCAAAACAAAATGCGGAGAATCATCCTATTATTCGGACTCGGACTAATAGAGTCCCTAAGGATAAAGGAAATCAAAAATCCAATCCTTCCTGTACACATGGGACAATCACAAATAATCACTTCCAAGCATGTATTCCTTTTCCACATTAACCTAACCCAGCCAGAACACTCAATTAACCAAATTATAAACTCATTAATTAAATTAAACTGTACCATAATCGATAATAAACCCACCAACCATTTTTCAATTATAATCTCTAATAAGATATCACACGCCTTATCATTAACTAACACCATCTTCAACAAAATCAAAACGTTCTCAGAGAATCGCCTAAATAAACGCGGACTATTTGATGGTGTAGGAAAAGCTCAAAAATGGCTATTTGGAACCTTAGACGCAGATGATGAAAAACATTTTTCTTCCTACCTAGAAATACTACAAACTAACGAAAATAAAATATACAGTAACTTAAAAAATCAACAAAGTGCTTTAAAACAAATTTCGAACAGTTATTATGAAAAATTTCAAAAACTACACGAAAATCAGTTGTCTATGGAAATTCAATTAACGTAACTATCAAAGGAAATCAACGAATTCGTTAATCTAGAACAAGCATTTTCATTTTCTAACATTATTGATAATCTGCTAATACAATTGCAAAATATTCAATACACTTTAAATAATATAGAGTTAGCAATATCTTTTGCCAAGCTGAATACCTTACACAGTTCTATAGTGGAACCTAATCAATTAGTCTTAATCCTTAATAAGTTAAGTAAATTATATGATACAGAACATATTCCTAAATTAAAAAAATTATCTAGTTATTATTATCTTTTTTCAACTCAGGTAATTATTAAAGACAAATCAATACCCTTCAAGATTTATACTCTTCTAAGTTTAAACACTTCAAACTATACCCTATACCTATCCTGAACCAGACAATCATCCCTGAACAACCCTACCTATTGCTCAACACCGAAAACTATTGGACAACTTCTGAGACCTGCCCTGAAGTAGAAGATTGGCACTTCTGTTTGCAAAACAGTTTACAGAAACACCAACCTTGCCTAGCTGATTTGATGAGAACCGGTAAAAATTCCTGCGAAAAAGTTCGACTACACTTTTCCGAGACTAGCCTAATACAAATTAATTCAAAAGAAGTACTAATCATTCCTGCTGGATCAACAAACATCAAATCTAGTTGTGACATCGAAGGACTTCATGAGATAACCGTACCCAATGTCATATCATTGGAAAATTGTAAAATTTACATAAATAACAAAACGTTTGAAGCAGAACAATCAACACACGAAGAGTTCGTCTTCGAGCTTCCAACAATAGACCTACAGGCAACCGACGAAACTGATAAAGAAAAGAAACATCTTCACCTGAAGCAAATCAACTTTGAAAACATCAAGCAAATTAATGAATTCACCAACAACCTACAAGTAGCCGAACCAGCCATTATCATAAGACATCACCACAGTCATCCATGGGCCAATACCTTTATGATACTCTCAATAATGCTCTGCTTGATAGGAGTATACTGGTATATGAAAATCCATCGCAAAAATCGAACCATCAAAATCACTGAAAAAACCAACGCCAACCAGAAAATAAAAGATGAACCTTTATTTTCTGACTTAGGAAGGGAGGAGTTATGTGCTTAATATATCACTTATCGTTTCTTAATGTAAACATAATGTTTTACTTTCTAATGACACATTTATGACTTCTTTTAGATATATATAGAGCTAAGGGATCCTTTGTAAGTAGATTAGTATTACTGAAGACTTAGACCTATAAGTATTGTAATAGTTATTCTCTATTTTGCGTAAATAAAGTTTTTTAAAAACAAAGTTTCGCGAATAAATAACTTAATTCATGTTAATCTATTGTCTCGATATTGAATGAAATTAAAATTTCCTCGTTTTTTGAAAATAAATTTTATTGTGCTAGCAAATTTAAAATTTTGTATCGATTAGCTGATAGCGCCTGTTGGGATCTTTTTTCAAATTTCCTCATTCGAAGGTTCCTTTACCTGATTGAGTATTTTCCTAAATTTCCGTCTTTCACTTTGTCTAATCTTTTCCTTGAGATATTCACTTTCCATTTTTGCTTGCCCATATTCAGCAACTAACTGTTTCTGGTACAAAGATTGTTTCGTTAAAATGTTTATCATAATTTGATCCTTAGATTCGACTTGAGTTTCATTAATATCCTCTTCACCATTTGTTTTATAAATATCCAATTTTGTTTTGCTACTTTCTTTTTCCTCAGATTTAGATTTCATTGTACTTTTATTAGTAATCAGACCGTCTTCTTTGTCCTCAGATTCTACTTTGCTCTTTCCTCTCAGCTGGCTTTTTCTATTATCTTCTTTATCCATATTAGATTTTATTGTGCTTTTCCTTTTGTGTGTTAATTTAGTTTTACTATTATCCCCTTTACCTTCACAAGTTACTTTGTTTTTATCATTATTTCCTCTCAAGATGTCCAAATATGATTTCATTTTACTTTTTCGTCGAATCTTATTTGTTTCACAAATTTTTTTCAACATTCGCTCAGCTTCTTCAAGATCTGGAACAAATTTTGGCATATTTCTAGCCTCTTCTTGCAAATCAATTAATTCTTGATAAGTCCTATGATCTAAATCTGTATCATCCTCATAATTTACTTCAGTAATACTTTTTGATGCACTTGAGCTGGAAATTGACATTGTTTTTTGATTTGCCATGCTTTCTTTTGAATCTTCTGTTTTACTATCAACATGTACTTGCAATATATCATTTGCATCAGTTACAGATTTTGATGACTTGAGGCTAGAAGTAAATATGCCACTTTGATTTGATCCTTCATCAATTATTTTAGAAGAATATGATTGCCAATGTTCTTTACTATTGTCTTCATCCGAAAAATAGTTGCACAATCCTACTGTGAGAAAGTTTATTTCACTTGTGTCAAAATGAATAGGCTCTATTTCTATAGAGTGTCGAGTTTCGCGCAGCGGTCTGCCTAATTGAGCAATGAAATCTGGCCTTGTTAAATAATATAGTGTTTCTTTGTCTTTTAATTTCAAAAATAGTTTGTAAAATAGATGTAAGCAAGCCGTATCAAATCCACGGACTATTGCGTCAATATCCTCTTTGGGCAAGGCCAAGTTTATTCTACTCAACCAAGAGTTGATGAGCTTGAAGTTTTTCAAGCACTCGCTCACCTGGCTGGTTTCTGTTATCAAATCCAATTCCTTGGATTTAATTATTTCATAGTTGTGCAAAAGTTGAGCAATTATACGTCCGTTCGCGACTTGGGGTCCGAAGGTTTCTGGCGACATGTCCACGGTTTGGCGTAGCCGGACGTTTATCCATTTAGATATCACTTTACGCATTATGAAAATTTTTAAAAATGCGAAAATAGAACTTTTATGTGGCCCAATTATTTCTGTGTGAATTTCTATTTCTTTTTTATTTCACATGGCGCCTTGTCGAGTAGCTATTAAGTAAGTAACATTCACAAATTGAACTTTTCAAAGTGACATTTGGAATGTCATTCTGGTATTCTTTTGAAACTTACATACTACGAGTCCAGAAGTAAATTAATTACTCATTTATAATATACGCCCTGATTACCGTTCCTTTTCAAATACTTACCGTCAAACGGGGTGACTCTGGACTACGGGTTGACTTGGGACACTTGGGCGCGCGCTTCCATAAAAATTGGCAACAGGGGTGAGCAAGGTGGGAGGTCAACATAAATATTCTGGGGATTAGCATACACTTTGAGGTCTTTAATACACCTAATGCGGGCGGCACCGGGTGAGTCTTTACAGCGACAAAAAATTTGTTTTCAAAGTATAGAGAATCGGTGTTTTTTCAAACCGCTACAATTGTTGTCTGTAAATATATCAAGGTAAGTGATGACATGTATGTTTTATTTATTTTTTTGTCCGCTAATATGTTGTTAAAGATGTAATAAGGTCGTTTTTGCTCAGAAATTTTTATTTATTTTTTTGTGATAGAAAATCTGATTGAATGCACTTTTTAGGGTGACTCGGGACATGCCTCGTAAATATGTTAGGAGGCTTGGCGCAAGGCCATATCAAAATTACGACAAAAAAAGACTTGAAATGGCCGTTAGGGAAAGGTTAGCGAAACAAACAAGTTATAGAGAGTTAGAGGAACGGTATGGGGTATCCAGAAATACCATTAATCAGCATGTCATCAAACAAAATTTAAAAAAACCTGGGGGTCAATTGGCCTTAGCTGAAGCAGACGAAAAAAAAATAGTGAATTCTTTGTTGTGTGTTGCCGATTGGGGATTTCCCTTAGAACCAATGGATATACGGATTTTGGTAAAACAATACTATGACAGAATGGGTGTAAACATAAAAAGATTTACAAATAATATGCCAGGGCCGGACTGGATGAAATCATTTTTATTGCGCCACAAAAATAATTTGGCTTTAAGACTTTCCGAAAACATTAAACGAGCAAGGGCTGCAGTTGACAGGCAAGCAATAAATGTCTATTTTGATGAACTAAACTTATCTCTAGAAAACATTCCTCTTGCGAACATCGTGAACTATGATGAGACAAACTTCACGGACGATCCGGGCCGTCAGCGTGTCGTTATTCGCAGAAGCAACAAACATGCAGACCGTATTCTTGATTCCAGTAAAACATCAACATCAGTCATGTTTGCAATTAGTGGATCTGGTGTAATGTTGCCGCCATACGTGGTGTTCAAATCAGAACATCTCTATGAAAACTGGATAAGAAATGGACCACAGGGTTCTAGATATGGAAATACAAAAAGTGGATGGTTCGATTCAAATCAATTTGAACAGTGGTTTTTGACTATAGCATTAGGCTACTTCCGAAGACTTGAGGGGCCTAAGGTTGTAATAGGCGATAACCTGAGTAGCCACATCTCCCAAAATGTCATCATGGAATGTCAAAAAAATAATATCAGATTCGTTTTGCTACCTCCCAATAGCACCCACCTTACACAACCTCTGGATACAGCATTTTTTAAACCACTCAAGCAATCGTGGAGAAAAATTTTGTTAGAGTGGAAGAAAAAAAATAAAGGAGTACTCCCAAAACCTGAGTTTCCAGGCTTATTAAACAAAGCTTTGGATAATATTGGAGACAAGCTAGAAGACAACATAAAGGCTGGATTTCGTTGTTGTGGTCTTATTCCACTCGACAGGGATCAGGTCTTGAAACGTCTACCCCCAGAGCCTGTTCGAGAAGATGAGGGCCAACTAGCTTGGACCGAAACGCTCACAGACTTTTTAAAGAACCAGCGAACTCCAACAAACCCAGCAAAGAAAGGTAAAGGAAAGAAAATTCTAGTAACACCCGGTAGAAGTGTGACATGTGAAAGAAGTTCTGACTCCGATTCTGACAATAGTGAAATGGAGATGGAATTAAATAGAAGTGAATCTGATGATAATGGGAGCATACAAGACATAGAGTCTGAGGGAGAAGAAAGAAATCAAAATGAAGATGTGGAAAACCTGGAAGAAGAGCCAGAGGAAGTGACTGATTTGCACATTGAAGATTTTGCAATTGTAAAATTTACAGACGGAAAGTTTTCGAAAAATTTTGTGGGAAAAATTTTAGACAAATCTGGTGACCAAATAAGAATCACTTTTTTAAGAGAACATTCGAAAATAGAAAATGGCTTTGCTTTTCCAATAGTTCCCGATGAATCCACAGTAAACATTTCCCAGGTTTTGAAAATACTTCCAAGACCTGTGGAACTGCGAAGAGGTGCAGTTAAATTTCCATTCCAAATAAATTTGAAAAATTAGGTAGACCCATTATTGTTATCGAAAGAAATGACCTTTTTTTTTATAATTTCTTGTGTAGAAATTTTTTTATTTTGTTCAAAAATCAATAAAAATAATGTTTACTTTTTTAAAAATTTCTATTTTTGTCCCGTCTCACTCCAGAAACGCCTTACAATGGTTTCTAGTGCTAAATAAGTGCTTGTCCCTAGTCACCCCGAAAACGGGGTGAAACGGGACAATTTTCAAAATTTAAAAAAAAATATTTAAGATTTTCGAAAAAATATTATTTTTAGCATACGTGTTCCCAAAATATGTAGAAACATGTAGCCACCTTAAAATTGCCATTTACTAATTCTGGTCATGAAATATTCACAAAAAAGTGTCAAATCCGTCCTTAGTCACCCCGTTTGACGGTATCTGATATATTATTCAGTTAAATAATAACTGGCGAGCGGTCTTATTGATGATATTTATTTCCTTGGGTAGCTACAAAGCAATTGTGGAGCGGGTCTATTTGCAAACGAGAAAAACCACTGCAGTTACCAATAATCAATCCCCTTTACTTCATTTACATAATCATTGCAATAAAGGGTACTGTTACGTTCAAATTTTGCCTAATACGTAACTGAGATTTCGAATGAATTCGGTAATTAATTCAGGTATTTGTGACGGTATTTATGAAGCTTTATACCTGAGGATTAATATTTTTCAGTGATTGATAGGTTGTTCATTGGATTTTACTAGATTTCTACCTCTTTGATTGGATGCGAAACAATATCTAGTTGTTGAATAAAGGTATATTTTTCGAGGTAATTCTGAGGTAATTCTTTGTATTCAGATGACAGGGTAATTTTAGAATAATAAAGCCCTACTGTTAGGATCGATATCTATTTTATTTATCTTACGAAAGTTGTCTAAAAGGCCCTAAATGTCGATGAAAAGGTTTGTTTACTTCCAAATAAATATCAATTGGCAACACTTACGAGTCACGTATTTTTCATTATTAAAAATTTCTGCAACATCACACGTCACTTTCACAGCCTTTAAATCGCTTTTTCACCCTTGATTCCGATTTTATATAGATTTTCCCGGTTATTTATTTCCGCCGAATAAGTGTGGTTAAGTGACACTTGTTGTTTCATTTCAGGCAGCGCTGTTGCCGACGTTTCTTGACCACTGTGGGTAATAGAGTCACTGTAGTTGTTACCACTGAAACGACTGGTCATTTTGATAGTTTTTGTACTAAAGACTGGGTAGATGTTGATTAATAAGTAATTAATTAGTGTTAATTGGTGTTAGGGGAGAAAATTTGATAACAACTTTGAATTTTGTTGGTCATCAATGTGTTTTGGGTTGTTCCATTCCAAGCTGATTGTTCCGTTTTCCTGGTCAAGACCGGAAATCTGGCACCAGAGGGCATCTTGAAAAAAAAATAGAATTTTAAGGAGATTATTCCTCTTATAGGCAGATTTTCAGGTGATCGGAAAAGTGGAGAGTTTCTGAAGTTACAGACTAAGTTGAGTCACATTCTTAATCGTTTGGACCCAGTGGCGTATCTACCGGTGTGCCATGTGTGCGAAGCACACAGGCCCGGGCCCGAGAGGGGCCCGTGAGCTCCATAGTGGAAAAAAATTAGTGAAAAACAGGAGATCCTTCCAAGACCCAAAATAGGAATTCTAGGCTTCAAAAATTTTTCGCATTTAAAAAATTTTCAAATAGGAAATGCGTCCCTGATGCAATTTTGACGCGTTGCTATGACAAAAGTGACAGAATCTCAGACAGAAGTATCGTAACAATATGGCGGAATACGCTTTTTTCTCCTTATATCGCCTGAATAATTTTTCCTTAATTTTGCCTAAATAAGTCAATTTTCTTTGAATTTTTCCTGGAGTGATTTTTCACTGGAAAATTTCGAAATCTCCCTATAATGAGCTCCTCACTTTTCTCTTTATCCTGGAAAATTTTCGAAATTTTCCCTTTAGCAGTTTTCCAAAAAAAAATTTAAATGTGAAAGGATGAATTTTGCTTAGAAAAGTCAATTTTCCAGAACTTTCCTATCGACTTTCCTTACAGTGATTTTTCACTAGAAAATTTTGAAAATTTCCTATAATGAACTCCTCATTTTCTTCTTTTTTCTGGAAAAATTTCACAAGTTTTGCTTTATTAGTTTTCCAGAAATAAATTAAAATGTGAAAGGATGAGTTTTTCTTAATTTTGGTTGAAAAAATCATTTTTTCAGAATTTTTCCTGGAGCGATTTTCCATTGGGAAAATTTTGGAATTTTCTTATAATGAGCTCCTGACTTGCCTCTTTTTCCTCTTTTGCCAATTTTCCAGGAAACAATTGAAATGTGAGAGGATGAATTTTCCTTTATTTTACTTGAAAAAGTCAATTGTCCAGAATTTTCCCTAGAGTGATTTCTCACTGAAAAATTTCGAAATTTTCCTATAATGAGCTCCTCACTTTCCTCTTTTTCTTAGAAAATTTTCAAAATTTTCCCTCTACCAGTTTTCCAGAAAAAAATTAAAATGTAAGAAGTGAATTTTCCTTAATTTTCCTTAAATAAGTTAATTTTCCAGAATTTTTTATGGAGTGATTTTTCATTTGAAATAAGAAAAAACGACTCACGATAAAGATTTAGATAAAATGGGTATTGGTAAGGTCTCACCTCTGTGTCCTGGATTCTAGCTTA